GTCAGTCGGCTCCACCTTCAACGCCTGGGTCTTAGATAAGTCCTTGTTCGTGGTGGCTTCGTCTTTGAGGGACAAATCAGAAACGATGCGGTAAATTTCTGTGAAATCACGATCACGGATGGGTTTAGAAACTGTCATCTCGTCCACTACGACTGATTCTCACAAGCGAACATTATGGTTCTTTACCTGTCAGGATCTTCTGGAAGGCCATCTCGACGTTGGTGGAGTCGAGAGCAGATGTCTCAATGAAAGACAGCCCATTCTCGGCTAAAATTTTTGTTGATATTAACGCACGTGTCCGCAAATTGACCGGCGCTCCAACGAATTCCCAGAAGGACATTGTCTACATACCAGCGAATTGCTTTGCCTCTTCTGTCGGCACAGCCCTCAAATGCCTCAGATCGCTCTTGTTGCCCACCAACATGATTACAATGTTAGCATCCGCATGGTCGCGGAGTTCTTTCAGCCAGCGGTTCACGTTTTCGTAGGTGGAGTGCTTTGCAATGTCGTAAACCAGAAGAGCACCCATCGCTCCTCGGTAGTATCTGTTGTTTTGAGAGACAGAATGCAAGTCGGTGATCTCAGCAAAACTGGTTTCACCATCTAAATGATGTGCCCCCATGAGAGGCTCCTCAATACATACGCGCTGGTGATCGCCCTGTATCGTTCCTGACCTGCCGTATCCCAAATTTGCGCCTTGATGGTTTTACCATCCACTTGTATGCTCCGGGTGGCGAATTCGACCCCAATGGTGGATTTGGATTCAAGATTGAACTCGTTGCGGGTGAATCGGCCGAGGAGGTTGGATTTACCGACACCCGAATCCCCAATTAGGACAACTTTACGAGAGAAATTGAGAACGGAAGAAGGAAGAGTTAGATGTGCGGGAAGAGGGAATTGTTGCATATTAGATATGCCATGACTTGCTGCCGCGCTTTCATTTGCTAGTATATGATATATTTCTCCAAATTGCCCTCCTGCGCCGAGTCCTATCAGGCAACCGGCCGGCCAGTCCTGCAGTCAAGATGGCGATTCAAACTTTGTGAATCGCGACACTGGCGACCGAGGTTCCACGCGACCAGTCCAGCATATATTGTTATTCGTATGATGAAAATATGTCCCGTCCTCGCGCCCGCAACTTTTCCTTCGCGCGCTGGATGGGAGGGAGTTGCTCTCCTCCTTCCGAAAACAAGTCTATCAGGTGGTTTGCCGAAAGTACACACCCTTAAACAGGTAGTCATATTCATCGTCCTTGCTCATATTGTCTTGCGTGAAGGGCTGTTGCGTACGGAAGGGTGTTGATAGCAGTTGGTTTGAGGAATGGAGTTGGGAATCGAGGGTGAGATGGGCGTCGAGTGGCAAGTTCTGTGGCAGTCCTGTGGCTATTGTGGTGCCCTGATCCGGGCTGTGACGGGCTGAGGCCAATAAGAGGAGGGCTGCGGATGGCTGCAAATCAAGCCCCGTCCGCGTTGTCATGGGAACAGCATCAACCCTTTGCCTTCTTTTGGAGGCGCCTCCGTGAAACCCACCACTTCGCTTAAAAGTGAACATTCCCCAACCTTCTGTGTCGTTGTGCAGGTTGGCAGGGTCTAAGTCACTGTATATCTGCGATAGAACTTTGTGTGGCCTTTCGCTGGCTCAAAAGGACACCGACAAAAAAGGAGAACAGCTTCTGTCTTGCTCCGTCCCTGCGGTGAACACTGTCGTTCCTTCGAAACCAATGTCAGGCAACCTGGTGAGTTCCTTTGCACCTAGTCGTTATCTGATATCAGGGAGGAGAGAGAAAGCACGAGTGTTGTGTGCCTCGTCCGTTGCTCAATTTTGACCTTGATATTTGGTTTGACACTGAGCTTTATCTTGCGCGCCCCTACTCCAACATACGACATTGCATGTTGAACCTCCTTTTTTCTCGGGGATTTTCCCTCTTTTTTTTGTTTCTCAGTAGTAGAAATTCCTTTACGATTTTTCTCGGTCTTGTCAAAAGACACTGTTTTTTGTTCATTCGCGACTTTTTTTGTGTGTTGTTTTGAGGTGCGCAGTTCAACGTGAAGGGTTTAGAAGTCGCTATGGCACCTCGACAGTAGTTGGGAATGTATGGAACTTATTTGTGCGTTTTCCCGCCGTTGGTTTTGCAGAAAACCGCATTTCTGGGACCGACGATCCACCATACGGTAAATCCGGCACACTGACCATACGAAGTAACTTACACCAGCTAATTTATTTAACTCCCATGAATGCACCAGATCGTTTGTCGCAATAGCATCATATTTGCACAGTTGTATTATCGCGGCGGCTCTTCCGGGTTGTCGCTCCTTACTCAGGTTCGTCCATACGCTATATCAATGCATAAATTGCGGAACTTTAGGCTCACCTTGCCGCCTGCAGACAAACTGCCTTCCTTACTTGAACCCGTCATTGCCGTGATGAAGCGCAGCAATGACTACGGGACTCCGCAGCCTGTAGACAGCAACTATAAAAAGCAACGATTTAGCCCCCAGGGACCCTACGGCTACCCCCTTGCTTCCAGTTCTGGCGCAGCGCCTGGAATGGGTTTCGGAGGAAGCGATCTTTATGGACAGTTTGGCTCTATGGGGCAGTATATGAATGCCCTGGCTGGGATGGGCGGTATGGCAGGCCTGGCGGGTCACCAGCAGCAAGGTTCGGGCGGACTTGGCCAGTATCAAGGGATGGGACCCGGACAATATCAGAGTAGCCAGTACTCGCCGGGCTCCTTTTCGCAATACCAAGCTGCTGCCACAGCCCAATATCAAGCGGCGCAGGCTGCCGCAAACGCGCAGTATCAGGCCAGCAGTGCGTATGCCAACGGGCTGAGCTCTCTCGCTGCGACCATGCGTACCGTCTACCTCGGAAATCTTCCGTCTCCCATCATATACGAAGAGGTGATCAATCACATTAAAGGCGGCCCGCTCGAACAGGTCAAGATTCTGGAGGAGAAGAATTGCGCGTTCGTTACGTTTATCTACGCCGCCGATGCCCAAACTTACTACCAAGACGCTCAGTCGAAGCATCTCTACATCAATAACCAAGAGGTCAAGATCGGATGGGGAAAGCATTCGTCGTTGCCCGCAAACGTCCTTGCTGCTGTTTCAAGCGGTGCCTCTCGTAACGTCTTCGTTGGCAACATTGACGAAACGTTGACGGACCAAGTGCTTGCCCAAGAATTCGGCAAATTTGGTCCCATTGATCAGATCAAGATTCTTCCTGACAAACGCATCGCGTTCGTTCACATGGCCAGTGTGACTGCCGCGATGAAGGCTGTTTCCACCCTTCCCAATGATCCACGGTGGGCGAGTCGCAGGATCAATTACGGCAAGGACAGGTGTGCCTACAATCAGAAAGCGTCGGCTTCGTCTTCGTCGTCGTCCGGATCTTCCGGATCTGTTCTCCCCTTTGGGTACGCCGGTGGCTTTAATCAGCCAGTGGGGATGGGTTACGGCGGGATGTCCTTTGACCCTTTCAATGGGGGCTCTGGATCGATGACCAACGGACAAGCCAGCCCTCCTGGATCGAACCGAACCGTGTATCTCGGTGGTATTCACCCTGATGTGACGACGAAGGACCTTTGTGATGTATGTGTCACTCATGCCGTTACTTCCCACCCATTTAGTCTACTGACACCTTACATAATGTCTGCAGGTGATCCGGGGCGGTATCTTACAGAACATCAAATACATGCCCGACAAAAACATTGCGTTCGTCACCTTTATCGATCCCAGCGCTGCTGTCGCCTTTTACAACCGCGGGACCTTCGAGGGGGTTGTCTTGAAAGGCAAGCGCCTCAAGGTTGGCTGGGGAAAGGCCGTCCCCCTTCCGGCTACCGTTGCGGGTGCAGTGCAAGCCGGGGCATCTAGAAACGTGTACATCGGTGCCATAGACGAGACGGTTACTGAGGACCGTCTTCGAAAGGACTTCAGTGATTTTGGTGACATCGAACTCGTGAACATTATCCCTGATAAGAATATTGGTTTTGTCAACTTCATCGATATCCTTTCGGCGGTTAAGGCCGTGGAAACCATGAAAACCAGCCACGAGTACTCAAAGTACAAGATCAATTACGGAAAGGACCGCTGCGGAAACCCTCCCCGCCCGCCTCGGGAATCTGCCGCTCACCGTGCCGCCAGCGTGCTTACGGCCCCACCCAACGACGTGCCAATGGGACTCGGCGGCGACTCTTCCCCCCCTTCGCCTAACGGAATTAGCGTCCGCGAAGTTGGATCCACACGCGAATCCATACTGACCGGCGCTGGTATTCTCGCCAGCAGTGGGAGTTTCATGTAGTTTTTTTTTGCTAACGGAAATTATATACAATGATTTACTCGTTTCTCTGAGGGGGCATGTGCGGCTGATAGATGGGTTTGGAACGTGATTTGATTGCTGAAGCGGAGCGGGGAAGGGAAGGTGCGGACACGTAACGGCATGGTATCGATGGGAGAAGGGAAAAATTTAGTAGATATCCCAGGTGGCGGGCTTGCGGATTATACCACAACCTTTTTTTGATAGCGAGTTCGTTTGTTGGCGGGTTGAGGTATTTGCAGCGTGCTTACGGGTTTTTGGGGAAATTATTGGGAGCTTTCGGGAATACTTTTATGTAATTGCATCGCCTTGTGCGCATCCTTCTGTTCAAATTTTTGCCTTGCTCGAGGATTGGGTGTGCCAGTTGGCTTTGTCGGTTCCCAGGCTTCAGGCGGGAGCATATGCCAAATCTATGCGATCGAGTGCCAAACTCAGGCCGGGTATGAGGTTAACTTAGGCTGACATAAACCACTTGATCCTCGTATCGTTCATTCGTGGAGGTCCTCGCAGCCGATACCATTTGGTTTTTCTATTCCCAGGCTTCAGAGAATGTGCAAGGTCAGACCGTCAAATGCAGCCAAACGCAGTTGAGTATCAGGGGAACAGTCAGCCTAGAACCAAGTTCGTCAACAGCAGGAATTGGTGAAGCTATATGGTTTTCCGAGCGGAGGACCACTTTCGTGAATGACACGATGGCCGAGTGGTTAAGGCGATTGACTCGAATTTGGTATTCAAATAAGACATCAATTGGGATCTTCCCGCGCAGGTTCGAATCCTGCTCGTGTCGCTACTGGTTAGTGTAAGGTTCGCTGTTTTTTGCACTCTTGTCGCTTTTGCTGAACCGAAATATGCGTCCACATTGGAAGTCCCATCATTTTGCTGAACGAAAATATGCGTCCACATTCGAAGTCCCATCAAAAAAGTTCTTTTATTAAAATGGAGTCCAATCTGGGACTTCGACAATGTCCCCCTTCAGATGTTATCTTCCAAAGCCAGATTATTACACACGGTGGAGGTCGGTGCCGGTTAGAGTACCGCCCTGTGACTGCGGATCAGAGATATCGAGCAAGAGACATAACGGGTTAGATTTGAAGATGCATTTTTGAAGCAAAAATGGCTGTGGAAATCCTTACCGCGAATTCATCCACCGAGATCGGGGGCATGACACGGGCCTCACCGACCGTGGGCCCCGCAACGTGGCGTTCGTACACGGGTTGTTCGCGGTGGACGACGTGTTCCTGCCTGACCTCGCGCTGCACGACGGGTTGGATTTCCTCGACGATGTGGGGTTTGACGGTTTCATGGATGATTGGAGCGCGGATGGTTGTGGAGTGGGTGGCGTCTTCGATGTTGCGGGAGGAGGAGATGTTGGAGCGGGTGGATTGGTAGCGCTGGGCTTCTTCGGGGCTGGGT